GGGGAGGGGGGGGGGGGCAGGGGGCGAGACGAATCTCATTCATGCATGTCGGGTTTCGTGCATGTCGGGTTTTCCTGGATCGACGGGAGGATCGCGAGGGAGAGCGCGTTCCGCTCGCCCCCGTTCGAGATCAGCGTCACCGAGGACATGGGGCATGGCACCTCCACCGGCAGCCCTGGTGATCAATCGGTCAATCCATTAGTCAATCGATTAATCAATCGATTAATCAATCGGTTCGGCGATGTGTTTGCGTGCGTGAGTTTCGGCGGAATTAAATGAAATTTCAGGGGGAAAAAATAATCAAATTTTCTCGGAGGAAAATAATTTGGGGAAACACGAGAAAGCACTTTGCATATATTAAATGATCTGGGAGAAAAAGTAAATCACATTCGAGGTTTCGCGGAATCGTGCGTCAGCGGAGCATTCATCAGCGGGAACTCATCATCGATGCATTAACGGCTAATCGCTCGGCCGGGATGGAAAGACGATCTGTCAAGATCCGCGCCCGCGAGTGATCGCCATCGCGATTGCCTCCCATCACCGCCGAGGACTCATCGGCGCGAGAATCGGCTCCTCCTCGCACGCGCCTCTCGGATTCGCGCTTTGGCCATTCGAGGAATCGATTTCCCGTAATCGGCGCCTGAAGGCGTCACGCGACCGTGAAGCGACTGCATCGCGGTCGGCAAATGTCACCGCGAACATTTCATCTTTTTTTCCGTTTTACTTGTTCGCCAAAAAACGCCACGACGCGAAAGAAAAAGGAAAAAGTACCTTCTTCGGGGTTCATGATGAGTCCGCAGACGGAGGCGAAGAGCAGCGACTCCGATTCCAGTCCCGAGGATCCCCGAACCTCGATCCGATCGCCCGATCCACACTGTTCGCAACAAATCCACCCTCCGTGACCGTCGTGACCGTCGTGACGGACCTTGCACCGTCTCGAGATCATTTTATTCCGTTTCGAGGAGGGAAGAATGGATTCAGGAAACGATTTTCGAAAAATTCAACCCCCATTGAAAAGGACTGGAACTCCCAGATTTAAAAAAAAGCAATAAATAAGGAATCGCCTCCCTTTTAAATGCCCAATCACAATAGGGAAAATTATATATATATATATATACTGTATATATATATTTTTTTTTTTTTTTCTCAAAATACTCTTCCTCCTCTATGTCCTGAAGAATCGAAACCCTTAAAAAATAAACCCTCTCCAACTGGAAAAAGCAACCCACCTTATGAGAGAGAGGCAGATGTTCTCCTGGTCCCGCCTTCATCGGTCCCGCCTTCACCAGCGAGAGCAGGAACGTCGCCGGGAAGAGCGTGACGACGGTGCAGTTCCTCCTCTTTCCTCCGTTCCCGATCCCCACCAGCTCGCCCTCGCCGCCGAGAACCAGCACGTTGCACGCTGAGGGGAAGGACGGGGAAGGGCTCTTCGTCTCCTCTTTTTTTTTTCCTTTTTTCTTCCTCTACCGGTGTAAATTTTCCTCCTTTCGCTACCTCGTTTTCCCCGGTTCCAAAGCTTTTTGCATATATGCATGTGAAAGAAAATTCTCGGTCGTTCGCTCGTCTAACGAGAGATGTGCGAACCGGAAATTCTAAGCGACACGTGCCTCCCGGCCTTCACGTACCCATCCCTTCCGCTTGAGGAACTCCAGAAACCCCTCGGCCGAAGTGGCCGATCTCGCCCTCCGGTGGATGCCCGATGACGTCACGCGGGGGCATCCATCGCCTTGCACGATCGACCGATTTTTCTACTAGGATGGCCTTCGCCTCGAAGGTCGAAGGGGAGCCAAAAGCGACTTCTCGGGTTTTCGTGTCGCTTCGTCGTGCTTCGTATCGATGGGAGATTCGTGGAAGACACTAATTCAGCCTATTTCGTCGTCTCTATCCCGTTTGTTAGGCGAGTCCGGTCAACACGAGTGGGCGGGTCTGCAGAATTAATTGCAGTCCGTTCGGGATTGCTCCGTCGTGTCGGCTCGTAGACCCTGAAATGCTTCACCGGATCGATCGAGTCTGTCCAGGCTAATCTTCCCCGATAAACAACCTCACTCCTGTCCCTTCTGTCTTCTTTTGTCCCCTTTTTTGTCCCATTTCGTCCCATTTCCCTCCTGGGACTCCAGTCGGAGCGAACCTCGCCCCGATGCGATTTCACAATCTCCGTCGTGAAATCGCATCGCCCCCCGGGAATCGTTTCTACCGCGACGATCGGATGAACCTCGAGACGAACCTCGAGATGAACCTCGAGATGAACCGACTCACGATCAGGCTCTCTTAGCGCCAGGACCCTCACGACGACCCTCGCATCCTCCGACGGGAGGCGATAGGACACCTGCCCCGCGTTCTGCCCCGCCAGGAGCGTCTCCTCCCGTGCCCGCTCCCCGCAGACTGCCAGGACCCGGTCGCTCATGGGGGTCCCGTGCTCCGCCACCGAGGGGAAGTACTCCCCGTCCATCTCCCAGCCGTCGATCATCTAGAGGGGAGGGATGAGGTGATTCCTCGGGGAATGCGGGGGGGATCGCCGGATGCGAGGTAAATATTTGTTTTTCCTGGGGTTTGTCACGCTCTGGTGGCCGCAGACACGCGTGAGATGATTCTGTATTTTTTATACACGTGTAAATATGCGCTCAAATTGTCTCTCGAAACATTACGTCGCGTTACAGTACCGAGTGCATCGTACAGATGACATCAGCAACAACATCCGGCCATACCATATACCTCGGGGGAGATTCATCAAAATGAGATCAGTCGAACAGGAACGATTTCGTTTTCATTTAGACCAAGTGGGATTGACGACTACCCGAGAAAGTGTTCGATGTCTCGCGCGCGACCGAAGGAAAGGAAACGTACGTTGACGAGATTCCCTTGGTGACAGGGGGCATAGACGTACTCCAGGTGAATGACGACCGACTGCTGCGATCCCAGGACCACGTAGAGGGCGCACGTGGCGCTCCCGTGCGACCGAAGTTCGAACACGCCCTCCTGCGTCACCATGTGGATGCAGTCTAGAGGGGGGGTGGGGGGGAGAGAGGTGAGAGGTGAGAAGCGTGAGAAACTCGCGAGAGGTCATCGATGTTGCATGAGAGGTGGGGAAGGGGGGGGTCTGGTAGAGCGTCGTTTCGTTCGCTGCTTTTATTTGGGTAGGTGATCAGGGTCTCCTAGGTCTCGGCTGATCATATTTATATGCGATGTTATTTGATTTGGATTACCTGCCGATGGATATGCTCTCTTCAAATAAAGAAGAGGGGAAGGAGGGGGAGGGGGTGTAGGTGGATCAATGAAGAGGGTTCAAGGATCTCGACAAGGCACTCCTAAAGGAGGAGTAGCGAGGAAACGCCTGGGGTCCCCGGGAGTGCCAGCGTTGCAGGCTCAGAGTGCTCCCAATTGGCACCTCGACAAATCCATACTGATTTATATACAGACAATTCTCTCCTATTTACTCATTTATTTGTTTTTTTTTTCTGCATCTGACGCTGCTTTAACAGCCGCACGACCAGAGGGAAGAAACAACAGACCTTAACCCGCTCGAATCAATCTGACCGACGGAAACAATGTTGCTGGATCGCCCAACTTTTTTCCTGGAAATTGCTTCATGCCCGTGCACCAAAATGAAATATTTTCCCCATCCCCGTCTCCGCCATCGAAATTCTGGGAAGGAGACGCGCGAGCCCTTACATTCTGATGCTTAAAGACCGTCAAACACCATTTAACTTTCCGTCGGAGTGACAAAAACCATATCGCTCGCGGGGACAACCGTTGTCACGCGTCTGGGGACCAATGAAATCACCCCACATCGAGGGACCAATGAAAACGCGCCACGTCATCGAGAAGCGGCTGCTTGCGTGCATGCCTCGACCGATTCTCGGCATTGCTCGAGGCCGGCCGAGTCGGTCTCAATTTTATCGCGTTTTCCATCGAATTCTACATCGTTTCGCTCGACTCCGACCTCTTCTACCCAGCCCGAGATCCTAATCGCTACCTTCACTCATTGATTTTAAGAGTGACTGAAAACCTGTCTGAATCGAGTGAAAAAACTGCGGGACTCGACTGAAAATCACTGCAGGCCCATGGCCACTGTTAGGCCTTAGCCTAAGTTAGTTCATCTGCTCTTAGTGACTAAGGAAAAGACAGACTCGAGGAAAGCTTTGCTTACTCTCTGCCATCCATGACAAAGCATTGTCCGTAAGCGAATGCCACGATCGGATTCCGAAGTTCCTTTTCCCATCCGATGGAAAATCGGATCACGCTCGGCGACCATTAAGAAGTCTTTAGTGGGGCTTACGGGCTCAACTTTTTCCGGTTTCATTTCCCTCGGGATTTCAAAGCATCAAATCATGGTGGATGGGATGCTTTTCGTCTCGATTCGTTCAACGTCCGAATCGCTCGTCACGAGCACGACTGACGACTTAACGTGACTTAACTTGACTTAACGTGATGGTGGGGGGATGATGTAAGAAATTTTTTACCGAAGGAAAAGGACGAGTTCGCCATCGGAAGTATTCCTCTTGAGCGAATTCAAATTGAGTTTGATTAATCACACGCCCTTCCCTCGAGTTTTCAATAGTCCCGTGGTCTTTGGAATGATGAAAATTTCCCCCGACGTCTCGCGGGAAAAAAAAAAAGAGGAAAAGACACTCCCGCCTGAATGCCCCGGTGTTGACACGCGTGCCCTCGACGAAAAATTGCATTTCGGTCCCGCGGGAGAGGCCCCAGCCTTC